AATTGGATTACTTCCCAATTATCTCCAGGATAGAAGACTCTGTGGAACTGGTTTTGCTTAATTTGGTCACAAAGGACGTCGATCTAACTTTTGACCCACTGGACCAATTTGTATGATTGTGACATATGTTGGGATTTGGAGTATGCTGATTCTGGAAATGTATGCATTATTTATGTGAATGTGATGCATACTTTTAAAGTTATGAATATTGTGTAAAACTGTGTATTTTCCTGCCTGTGATAATTATATTAACCCATTGTGTAAGGTAATTGTATCACAGGCAGAGGGGAGGATTTTGTGTGGGAGTGTCTGAGTGTATTGTACGTGTTTATTGGTTGTTTTACAAAACCCTGTGGGTGGTACTAATGTGTAAGAATGTGTATGTAAGAACAATAAACCCACAGCTCTGTCAGTTCTAATTCACCCTCAATTTGGAGTGCCGTCTCTTATTGGGGGAATCTGCCACAAGGGATTGCTATGCTTGTCATACTCCCTTGCTAAATCATGTAGCGGAGCTGCAATATTAAATCCCGAAATCTCTGCTAGTATAGAAAGTAATCCAAAGTAAAGCGCTGGAAATGAAGGCAATATCCCAAATCCCCCTGTAACCGGACGAATCACAGTTCTGGGAGTCAACTAACAATTTTATTCACAGCTCCAGTATTTATGTGATTCCCCATGCCAGGGGATTCCTCTGTCACTTTACAGGGGTATTACAGTAGAGGACTACATGGGGAGCTGAGTATACAGAGCATTTCTCCCACCATGCACTGCTGTACGTGAGGGATACTCCCACTAGAATATCCTGTTAAGTGGATTATCCCTCTGTACAGCAGAACCAGGTTTTAACACAAAAATCCATAACTTTAATATTATTCGTGTGATTCCCTTAAATGACCGTTTGGTAGATAGCTGGGGTCTGAGCGCACACTTCGTGAAAGTACCGCTCAGATCCCAGCATAAATAACCGAACGCCGCACGAAACACACTTTATTTCACTTTCTCATTAAAAGTACCGAATACACATTAGGCAACAAACTACCGAAGGACCGGTGCTCCCGAACGGCCTGGAAGTCCAGCGGTGTTCGCGCCGTCGGGTAGCTGATTAGTTCCAGGCGCTTTGACGACCAAACACCGCTGGGCTAACAAAGGATCCAAGATGGCCGACCGCCGCGTGGTCGGTAGCCGAACGACGGCCACCCAGGAAAGCACTTAACTACTGATTGCTACAATGTTGCAATCGGTTAATGGGAGCCACACGACCTTCTGTGTGTGGGCTCCTATTCGATACTTTATTAGTTTTACGAACAGTGTCTAAAGTCACTGTTCGTAAAACTACCATATGAATGTTATCGGCTTTCAGCCGTTAGCATACGAATATTCTTTATTGCAAACACACATGAATACATCCTTACAGACAATAAAAGCAGACAACCTTCCAATGTTATACAGTAAGCCTTAAAGTGGCTAGGTTTGCCAGAATGCTCCCCCAGAACCAAGCCAACATACACAGTCAGATCCCAACGGAGGAGTACTCACAGATCACTTCTCAAGGTCAGTTTGTCTGGATAATCCGTCGGCATTACCGTTTTGCTTCCATGGGCGGTAATAAATGGTAAAGTCAAATGGCTGTGGCGCCAAACTCCAGCGCAGCAGCCTGGCATTGTCCCCAGCTACACGGTTCAGCCACACCAATGGCTTGTGATCTGTGAGTAAGGAAAAAGTTTGTCCATATAAGTAAGGCTGTAACTTTTTGAGGGCCCACACCACGGCCAGGCATTCTTTCTCAATGACGACGTAGCTTACTTCACAGGGCAATAACTTTAGGCTTAAGTAAGCTACAGGATGTTCTCCGCCATCTGCTCCAACTTGGCTCAGCACTGCTCCCAATCCAAACAATGAAGCGTCTGTGTGGACAAGAAATCATTTAGTTGGATCAGGAGTAGCAAGTACAGGTGCATTGGTTAAAGCAGTCTTGAGTTGTTGGAATGCCTGATCACACTCTGGGGCCCAGATGACCTGTCGAGGAAGGTTTTTGCTGGTCAAGTCAGTCAGGGGTTTGGCCAGGGCGCTATAATTGGGTCTGAATTTTCGGTAGTACCCTGCGGTACCCAGGAAGGCTAACACTTGGGTTTTTGTCCGGGGGTATGCCACTTAGCTAGTGCTTTGATTTTTGCTGGTTCGGGCTTTTGCTGTCCACTCCTTACCCGGTGCCCCAGATATTGCACCTCTGCCATCCCTATGTGACACTTGCTGGGCTTTTGCGTCAACCCTGCCTCTCCAATATGGTCAATGACTGCTCCAATATGTCGCAGGTGGTCTGACCAGGTCTGGCTGTATATGGCGATATCATTCAGGTATGCACAGGCATACTCCTGGAACCCTTCCAGTAGCCGATCTACCATCCGTTGAAAGGTAGCCGGAGCATTTTTCATCCCGAATGGCATGACTCGAAACTGGTACAGGCCAAACGGAGTGACAAACGCCGACTTGGGGATGGCATCCTCGGCTAGCGGAATCTGCCAGTACTCTTTGCATAAATCTATTGTAGTGAGGTTCTGGCCTCGTGCCATCTTGTCTAGCAGCTCGTCTATTTTATATAAATGACACTGTTTTGTCATTTAGCCTACACAGAATTGTGTTGTGCCATCCTTCTTGGATACCAGCACTACCGGCGATGCCCAGGGGCTATCGGAGTGTTCAATAACCCCTAGCTGCAACATTTCCTCAATTTCCTTCCTCATATGTTCCCTGACTGCTTCAGGGATATGATATGGGGTCTGCCGCATAGGTAGTTGTCCTGGGGTCTCGACTTGGTGAGTAACTAGCGGGGTGTACACTGGTAAATGGGAGAAAGTGGTTCCCTTAGCCGCGATTAACTCCTTTACCTGGGTATGCTCCTGGGGGCTTAGCCACTCCCTCAGCTGAACACCTGTGAAGGGCTCTGCCTGATCTTCCCGCTCTAATAAGTCAGGTAGCAGAAGGTTCTCCTGATCCTCCGAGGCTGATGTGCATTTCGTCGCCACATCCTCTATCATCTCGTGGTAGGGTTTGAGCATATTCACGTGGAGCATGCATCTCTTCCCTGTCCCTGAGAAGGGGCCAATGACATAGGTGGTGTCACATTTCTGTTCCACCACCTGGTATGGGCCTGGCCAGACAGCCTGCAGCTTGTCATTGCGAACATGCTTTAAAATCAAAACTTTCTGTCCCACTTGAAAGCTGCGTTCCCTGGCTCCCCTATCATAACATCAGCGCTGGCGTTGTTGAGCCGCCTGGAGGTTGGCCCGTACGGTCTGGGTTAGTGCCTCCAAGCAGTCCCTGAACTCCAGCACATATGGTACAATGGGTATGCCATCTGTACTACTTTCCCCCTCCCAGTGCTCCCTAATTAAATCTAACGGCCCTCGCACCCTTCTCCCAAACAGTAGTTCAAAGGGAGAAAATCCCCTAGACTCTTGGGGTACCTCTCTGTATGCGAATAGCAGATGGGTCGCTCCCAGTCCTTATGGGCCTCTCCAAAGGTACGAAGCATCTGCTTTAATGTCCCATTAAACCTTTCACATAACCAATTAGACTGAGGGTGGTTCGACAGAGGGGAACAATCGCTGCTGAGAGCCAGGGGGATCCATTCGGTATTTTATTAGTTTTTTCCCCCTTTACTGAAGTGACCGGCAAAACCACCCAAACTCATGGAACTATTTTGGGAAGCCAGCCCACGGTTAGCCGGTCACAGAAGACTTCCACCTTTTTTGAGAACCCCTGAACTGATCTGGGTGAAATTTTAATATGTTGGTCACCCAGATCGGAACTATATTTGTGGGGATACCTCATGTATAAAGGGGTGCTCCAGATATAAGGGAAAAATTAGATTTTTCTGCCTGGAGATAATCAAGTTATTACTTTATCAGACTTGATTATCTCCAGGACTAGGGGAGGGAATTGTATGTGTGTACTGGGTGTGTTTTATGTTTTTACTGTGCCGGATTGGTTAAATGCTGTCTCTCCCTGTGGGAGGTCCCCTTGTATGACAATGACATGGAAATTGACAGTTGTTTGCAAGATTTTGAACGTCAATGTGCGCTGGAGGGATTAGACTCCACAAAATGGGCTGCAGTACTTAGCAGCAAGCTGTCAGGAAGAGCAGCAGAGGCATTGCGAACAGTACCTGATGGGGACATACACAATTATAACAAAGTAAAAGACATTTTGTTGGCCAGATACGCTGTTACCCCAGAAGCATACCGGAAAAAGTTTCGGGAACTTCGGAAGACGGAGAGACTCACACACTGAATGGGTTTTTCGGCTACACAGGGCAGCCCGTAATTGGATGCAGGGCTGTCAAGCAACTACCCTGGAGGATTCCTTACAGTTCATGCTATTGGAGCAATTCTTTAACCAAACAGCAAACGATATAAAAGATTGGGTAAAAGACAGAAAACCTAAAACTGTGGAGGAAGCCGCCAGATTAGCGGATGAGTACCAGGACAACAGGAGGAGGGAACACAGGGTGAGCAGACCAACTTTTAAGCCCAACTACCCGGTTCCAGCAACATCTGCACCACCTAGAGCCTCTACAAGCAACCCGCCACAAGGCCCAGCAGTAACACCTCGACCCCCTGCAGTGTGTCATTATTGTAAGCAACCAGGGAATTACAAAAACCAGTGCCCTCGTTTGAACCGGGGAAACTGCGAAAGACAACCACCCCACCAGCCCAGGGCAGCCGCCCATTGTGTCCAGCAGGACAGTGTTGCCTACGTCCCCAATCAGGCAGAACAGTGGAGTGTCCTACATGAGGTCAATCCAGTACAAACCGGAGGCGACAACCGGGACCACCACCGTCAATGGATGGCGTGGGGGCCTGAGCTATGAAGGACTCTGGGGCACCTCTAACTGTGGTCAAGGCTCAAACTCGCACCAGTCACACAGTAGCTGTAAGGGTGGCTGGGGGTGCCATACACAAGCTACCTACAGCCAACGTCCTTGTCGACTGGGGTTCTGGGTCCAAACAGTTGGAGGTCGGCATTATGCAGGAACTGCCAGCCGACGTCTTATTGGGAAATTGCGTTGGCTGTTTAACCTCCCAACTAGCACGGGACACTACTTTGGAAGCATACCCGGTTACCACCCAAGCCCAAGCCAGACTGGAAGCACCGCTGCACTCTGAGGAAAACCAGGTAGGAGTTGACATACCCCAGTTGCCCGATCCCCCTTCCATCTTCTGGGAAACTCCACAGGGTTTTGAACAGGAACACCGGACAGACCCCACACTAGTAGGGTATAGAAAGGCCGCAGAGGTCACTACGGGGGACAGCCCCTACAAAAAGTTTGAATGGTATAAGGGATTGTTGTACCGAGTGACAGGAGGGGTGGGACGCGGGGCCACGTAAGTCACTAATAGACAACTAGTAGTACCCCCTAAGTTTCGGGCTGAGTTATTAAAACTCAGTCATGACATTCCCCTAGCAGGACATCTAGGGGTCAAAAAGACAAGGGACCTGTAGCGGATGGCCATGAGCTGCCCTGACTTACTTTATGTTTAACCTGTATTCGTCTGTTTGCTAAATGTCTATGCAGTAAGGGAATGCATTCGGGTAAAATAGCAAAGTTCTATGTGTGAAATGTATTGGATTCGTCTGAATGTTAGGTAGTTTCATTCCCTTAGTTTGTTCGCATGAAACTACCGAACAGTCAGACCTCCCCTGTGTGAAGTGTGCCTTCAATTACCCGTTACAACATTGTTGCGAACGGGTAATTGACAAGCTGTTTAGCAATCCTTTGTTCTCGGGGGTGGCCGCCATTCGGGACGGTGTTTTGCCGTCGAGTGTCTGGAACTCAAAACGGACACTCGACTAGGCGAACACCGCTGAGACCTCCATCAGCCCTGTCCGTTCGGTTCCAAACTACCGAACGGCCCCTCGTTCGGTAGGCATAATCAACCAAACGAGGGGATTCAGGCAAACCCTCCCAAGCCTCTATAGCTGGAGGCTTTCAGGTACTGCATTTGCCTTTTCCAGGACCGACCGCAGGGCCCAATCGCATGGAGCCCAATTCGGCTAGTTCATCCAGTGCGGTCGGTCATTTTATTCCCTCCATGAAATTCCCGAACTCCTGGTCTGATCTGGGTGATTTTTGGATATGTTGTTCACCCAGATCAGGGCTACCAGGGGATGCATAATTTAAAGGGGTACCCCTAGGTTTAGGGGTACATCCAGAAACGGGGGGAATTGCTCTACTGGATAAGGGGATTATGATGCCGGCTGAGGGGAGGAGATGTGTGGGAGGTTACCAGGACAGGACTGGCTAATGTATTAATGAATGTAATCCCTCCCTTGCATGGGAGCATGCTTTAAAAGGCCAGTGTGGAATAAAGCTTTGAGTTCTGCTCCTGATGCTGTGTGTCGTCCAGTCATTGGGATTGCTGTGGGGATACTATTGGATTATTTTGCCTGTTGGAAACCTTGCCTGTGGATTTATAATTTACTTGTTCCTGAGCCTCACTGGGATCTTAAGCGGAGATAACCAGGGGAATATTGTATCTCCGCTACAGGACCAGTTGACCCAAACATTCTTCTGGCCTAGGATCACGCAAGATCTTAAGTATTATTGAAGGATGTGTGACATATGTCAAAGAATAGGGAAGAGAGGTGACCACAAGAAAGCCAAACTCCACCCTTTACCCATTATAGAAGAGCCATTTCACCGAGTAGCGGTGGACTTAATAGGACCTCTCAGCCGACATAGTCAGTCCGGCAAGAAATTCATCCTAACTGTAGTGGACTAGACCCGGAAGTGGTAGCCCTCGCGAACATAGAGGCAGAGACCGTGGCAGAGGCCCTAGTTAAAATATTCTCCCAGGTAGGTTTTCCCCAAGAGATCCTGTCCGATCGAGGGACTCAGTTCACAGCCCTCCTGACCCAGCAATTGTGGCAGAGCTGTGGAGTAAAAGACCTATTCAGCGCCCATACCAATGGGCTCTGTGAACGTTTTAATGGCACGCTTAAACAGATGCTAAAGACCTTCACAGAGTCCTGCAGGAATTGGGAAAAGTATCTACCCCATCTTCTGTTTGACCTACCGCGAAGTGCCCCAGGCATACACCAGGTTTTCCCCCTTCGAACTCCTGTTCGGGAGAAAAGTTTGGGGCCCCCTGGATCTCGTACAGGAGCACTGGGAGGGCAACACAGATGAGGTGGGAGTTCCCATTGCCCAGTACGTTCTGGAATTCCGGGACCTCCTACGGGCTCTCACCGAAACTGTTCAGGAGAACCTGCAGGTGGCCCAGGAATGCCAGAAGAAGTGGTACGATAGGGGCGCCAGAGATAGGGTATTAGAAATAGGTCAGAAAGTGTTGGCTCTGAGACCCGCCAAGAAGGACAAGCTGCAGGCGGCCTGGCAGGGACCCTTTAAGGTAGTAGAGCGGATAAGTGATACCACCTATATTGTGAGCAAATGTTCAGATCAAAGGCTGACCAAAGCCTTTAATGTAAATATGCTCAAGCCCTATTTCAAAAGGACTGAAGAGGTGGGCGCCGTATGTGCCCCTTCGTCTCAAGATAGTGAGGGACTGCCCCTCCCCAATCTATTAGACACCTCCCCATGTACTATTGACCAAGTAAGCTTGGGTCAGAACCTAACCCCCTTAGTGAAGGGTGAGGCCTTTCAACTGCTTCAGGAATACCAGGGAATGTTTTTGGCCATACCAGGCTATACCTCTGCTGCGGTACATCATGTAGAAACCCAGGGAGAAACGCCGTTACGGCAGCAACCCTATCGTATTCCTGAGGCGGTACAAGAAAATATGCTTGCCAAAATAATCGATATGCTCCGGTTAGAGGTTATAGAGCCCTCCCAGAGTCCTTGGGCTTCCCCGATAGTGCTAGTACCGAAGCGCGACAGCACCACGCGCTTCTGTGTAGACTATCAGACTCAACGATCGCACCATAACTGATGCCTACCCCATGCCCAGAATAGATGAGCTATTAGACCGTATGGCTGGGGGGAATTACTTGACCACCCTGGATTTGTGCAAGGGGTATTGGCAGATCCCCATGGAGGCTGCGGCCATTCCAAAGTCAGCATTAGTCACTCCATTTGGGCTATACCAGTTCAGGGTTATGCCCTTTGGGATGAAGAATGCCCCGGCTACTTTACAGAGAATGGCCGACATGCTCTTAGAGGGGTTCCAGGACTTCGCGTGCACGTATCTAGACGAAATTGCCATCTATAGCGCATGTGGATGGACCACCTGGGCCACCTGTCCAATTCGTTTAGCAGGTCTCACATTGAAACCTGACAAATTCCACGTAGGCATGGCCGAGGTACAGTATCTCAGCCACCAGGTAGGTTCCGGTAGGCAGCGTCCAGAACCTGCTAAGGTAGAAGCCATAGCTAATTAGCCTTTTTAGGGACATCTGGCTACTACCGAAAATTTGGTAAAGCGCCCTGGCCAAACCTCTCACCGACCATACCAAAAAGGCCCTTCCAAAACAAGTCACCTGAACCCCAGAGTGTGCGGACGCGTTTCAGAGACTTAAAGCTGCATTAAGTGAGGCTCCTGTGTTGGCAGCACCCAACCATACTAAACAATTTCTTGTCCACACAGATGCCTCCATGTTTGGGTTGGGAGCTGTGTTAAGCCAAGTGGGGGACGACGGCATGGAACACCCGGTGGCATACCTCAGCCGTAAACTTTTGCCCAGGGAGGTCAGCTATGCCACCGTGGAAAAAGAGTCAAAAGAAAAAACGATTGTGTATGATCATTAAAGCTCAGTTCAGTTGTACCCTTCTTCTTGACTTCGGCTGATGTTTGGGGATTTGTGTGCTTTATTAAGGGAATTATCTTATGAAGCTATTTGGATTAGTATACAGTTCGTCTATTTCATCTACCGAACGGAGAGCTATAGTCACTGATGCTCTGGCGGTTCGGGAGGAAACTACCGAATGAGGATTACATATACCAGGTTTCCTTACAAAGTTAAAACCGTTTAGGATGTTCACTTTCCGAATGCAGAGGCAGCTACTGAACACTCCATTCAGCCGAACAGGAACCATACGAATTATGCATACTAAAAACAGCCAAACAGGAAAAAACATACAAATAAATCCCCCCAAGTATGAGACGAGGCTCCGTATTGAGGGTCAAGCAGGAATCTGGTTTATTGGGGCTACCTGCCCGGTATTTATGCAGGTCTCCCACCAGGTGGACACTCCCCTAGGGCGAACTGTGACAGAAAGATACAGTAGCCAATTATTCGAGTACAGGTATAAACACTCCCCCTTAAGCCATATAGAACCCTCCTCTCTACCCTGGAGATAATTGGGAAGTAACTCAATTATCTCAGAGGATAGAGCATAACCTCCATTTTAATAAAGACAATAAAAAGACATAAAAATATACAATATTACAACTACCAAATGAAACATGCATGTTCAACGTATCCATAGATAGCTTAGATCTGAGCGCACATTATTACCGAATCACATACACACATACATACAGTTCAATTGCCAATTCACATAGTCTTTTGTTATACGAATGGGCTCCATGGGATAGCTATCTGGGGTGACTCCATTCGTAAGGAAAAGTACCAAACGGGCCTGCGTTCGTAAGCTGGAGGAACAGAAGAAGGGAGGTCGGCGGCTTCAGCAGTGTTGAGAGAAAATAGAGTCCGTTCTCAGTTCCATTAAATCATCAATGAACACCGCTGGGTATTCGTATGTCCCAGATGGCCGCCGCCATGTGTTCGTTCATACGAATGATGACCACCCAGCCGACAGTCGACAATTAGGAAGTGTCTGCGGTTAACCACAATGTTCTAATGAGGCCAAGAGGTTAATCAGCAGCACACTTCCATGCTGGGTGGCCAGCCGTTTGGCAAGTCTTTTGGTAAAACAGGGGAATAACGTAGGAACCATATGGACAGGGAAATAGCCGAACAAACTGACGAACCAAGGGGAAATAAAAGTAATTCAGAGAGATCTGTCACAATTGTATATAGACAAAATATATTGTTTCAAATAGCTGCCATGCTCCAAGTTACCCAATTTTAAACAGACTGAACATCCAGTCATCTGTAGCTTGAGCCTTGGGTCAGTATAGGCAAAGTCTATTATTCCCAACAGTTTCCCTCCTTCGTTCACAACATGAATGCATATAGTCAAAGTGGGAATAATACCCATCCCTCGTACATGGACCCGGGTCTAGGATTACCAGTCTGGGACCAGGTAAAAAAAAAACCCAGTGACAAAAATTCGTATTTGAGAAAAAAGCACATCTGGGGTGTGACGAGACCAATCTCGCCACATTGCATTGGAGAAGACTGTTTGCCCGCCTGCTGCCTTTAGACTATGGCCCCATGTTGAAACGCTTGATTTTCCCATGCGAACACACGAAAGCCGGGTCATTCGGTGCGTGCCCTGTTTGAGCGGTGATACCCTAGATAGCTATGCCATGGAGCCCATTCGTATAATGAAAGATTATGGCAATTGAACTGTATGTGTGTGCTCTGAGCACCATTCAGTAATAATGTGTGCTCAGATCTGAGCTATGTGGGGATATGTTGAATGTACCTGTTTTGTGCAATGGCTGCACAGTTATATATTTTTATGTGTTTTATTGTCTTTTGCTGCCATGTGGAGTTTTGCGTCTGTCTTTGGAGATAATTGGATGACTTCCCAATTATCTCCAGGATAGAAGACTCTGTAGAACTGGTTTTGGGCAGAAAAGCCATGCTTCCTTTGGTCACAAAGGACTGCGATCTATCTTTTGAACCACTGGACCAATTTGTATGATTTTGATGTATGTTTGTATTTGGAGTATGCTGATTCTGAAAATGTAAGTGTGAATGTGATGCATACTTTTCAAGTTATGAATCATGTGGAAAAATTGTATTACTCTGCTTGTGCTAAATTACATTACCCATTGTGAAAGGTAATTGAATCACATGCAGAGGGGAGGAAATTGTGTGGGAGTGTCTGAGTGTATTGTATGTGTTTATTGGTTGTTTTCCAAAACCCCGTGGGTGGTACTAATGTGTAAGAATGTGTACATAAGCACAATAAACCCACAGCTTTGTCTGTTCACTGCTTGACCCTCAACACGGAGCTTTGTCTTGTTCTTGTTCTTGGGGGGATTTATTGTATGCTGTTCCAGTTCGACTGCTAGGAGTGTAAACCTATTCGTATGGTTTTTCCTATTTGGCTGTTTACAGCATTCGAATGGTTTCCTGTTCGGCGGATTGGTGTTCTGCAGTAGCTGTGCCTGTGTCTCTGGAAGGGGAAGATCTACTAAACGGCGGTGTAACCCTTTTATGCCTGGGGGTGCCGTTACACCAATGACGTAACTTGTCCCAGTATGAAAATACTAGGCTCATCATGCAGACAATGCAACACAATCACACTATCCCACTCTCATGGAAAGTGTAGTGGGCTTATGGTATAGACATAACAATCATACCAGGCACACAGATCCCGTGTGAAATAAACATAACAATATAAACAGAAAAACAAACTCATACTTTATGAAATAGGAGACTGGAGAAATAGTCAGAGATATGATGACAAATGAGATTTGAGGGCCCTTATGGTGAAACATATATAGAACACCACCCACACATAACCGTCAACAAATATATAGATATATGATGGAAAAGATCAGTAAAACTATCACTCCCCTCCATTCCCTCCTCCACTGGAGTCATCTCCTTTACCATACCAGATACTTCAGTAGACTACTTACCTACTGAGAGTGATAGGGAGAACCTGGCAGACTTCATAAATTCCTTCCGTATCTGTGGGTCATGCCAGCTTTCTTAGGTAATTTCTTTATTGCCTTCCTCTAAGATGTTTAACTATAGTTAGAGCTTCTTCTGGGTCCTTTTTGTGAGTTACCCATCTCTAACACCTGTAAGGGGTAATTACTTCCTTAACCAAGACAAGAATATACAAACAGTGTTTTAACACTTAGAACCACTGCAGTGGAATTTTCACAGTCTTTGTCTTCTTTATATAAACACAGATCAAA